ACCTGTCACTGACCCGCCCCGATTCAGCCTCATTTACCGAAAAATCATGGCTTTTCAGTTGTGTTTGTCTATTTTTAGTAGCCGAAGGGCAGCGGCAGGGCCCGAAAGCAGGTGCCCCGGCAGCTGGTCTGGGGGAGCCGGGCTGCAGCTGAACCCCTGTGTTAGGCTCCCTCAGGTGTGACTTGCCAGGCAGCCCCTCTGCTCTTTGGGCTGTGCTTAAGGTCTCTGCTAAATCCTAATCAGTTGTCCCAGGGTCAGTGACACGATATAACCAAACTGAAGTCATCTGCTCGGCCATATGTTCTCTTCCTGGTTTTCAACCCAACTGGTAGTGGGCCACTATGGTGATTAGTCTTTCTAAACTCTCCAAAATGACTTGCTGTCAAAAAACAGATTAAAATACCCCCCCAAAATCATAGCACAAACTGCACTGTGGAAGGCAGATTATGAGTTCATCCACTGCCTTTCTCAGGGATTCCAACTTCTGTTGTCAGTGGTAACGTTTGACGAGGTTAAAATGATCATTGGTGAAATCACAACTTTTAAGGGATCACTCTTAGATCCTGCGTGGGCATCTGTAACTGCACCCTTAACATCAGGCTTTAAGCTCTCAGAGTTGGGTTTTCAGCCTGGCTGAGGTGCAGTTGGGTCAGATGGAGGATTTTCCCTGGCTGTAGACCACCCCCCCCTGTGTTTCCTGCTGTTGAGCTTGGGTGTCCGTGGTTTCTGCTTCCTAATTATTCCACAAATGGATTCAAGGGTGCAGTGGGGTCAGATGGAGGATTTTTCCCTGGCTGTAGACCACCCCCTGTGTGTTTCCTGCTGTTGAGCTCGGGTGTCCGTGGTTTCTGTTTCCTAATTATTCCACAAATGGATTCAAAACTGTCTTTAAAAGCCTGATCTGCTCTTTCATCTAATGTCCCACAGGCTTTGGAAGCGCTGCTCCAACTGGTTCAGAAGTGAAAAGTTGAATTTTTAGCTAGAAAATTGCAGGTTGAGAGTAAGGGAGAAAAAAAATGGTTGTTTTCAGGGTCTAAGAGAAAGAAATGTGAATGAGTTTGCTTGCTCACCCTTGCTGCCAGCTACATTCCCTTCAGGAGGCTGCCTCAGGACCTTACCAAAACCACTGGGTGGGAATTCCAACTCCCTGAAGTGGTGTCCAGTAGGCAAAGCCACACCTCCTTGTCCTACAGAGTGGCTCACAGGGCTTCACAGGAGCTCCTGAGTGATATTTGGCTGATGAAATAATGTTACCCGGGGTTGTCAGAGACATTTTGAAGTCACAACCATCTGTTGTTGATGGGATGCTAGAAAATTAACTCTGATACTTTTGCAGAGGAGGCACAAGTGATGCCTGTAAAAACAGTTGGTTGTGCTGTGTCCAGCACCATTTTTCCTTAAAACCTCACCTCTGCCTGCAGCTGATTAATTTCCAGGGAACCCATGAAATAACCTTAAAAAAGAGTATTTTGTTTTCCTCGTGGCAGGTGAAGGGTGGTTGCCAGAGTTGTCATTGTTCTGCTTTTATGGTATTTTTTACAAGAGCCTGAAGGTTTGTGAACAAACCCACCCTTGGTAGCACTGCAGAGCCACCGTGGCTTTTTGAATGCTGTGATTTGGTGCTGCTGGGAATTAGGTAGTTGCTTTTTTTTTTTATCCTGTGTGATAAGAGCAGATTTAATATCCCTATTCAAACATGACCTGTGTGCCTTTGCAATTAGCTGCCCAATTTTTTCCTCGTTTTAAAAGGGTTTTCCCTTTGAGCCCTGCCAGCTGATAGGGAGTTTTTTTCTGGGTGTATTTGGACAGCTCTGTTTCTAACACCACTTTTCTTCTGGTGATGGAGATTTAACCTATATTAATGCCACTTCAGTTGTGTTTACAGAGTTTTCCTTTAATCATTTGGCCCTTAAAGTCTTTTCTGTAATGCTTAAAGCTTTTTTTCTTGTTTTATTCTAAGTTTAACAGCTGGAAAAAGTGGCTACAACTGAAAGCAGTGAATTTATTCTCCCCTCAGTAACCCGAGCCCTTCTCTTACATCACCCTGTTTGTCCTGATCTGCAGGTTATTTGAGCCCATGGTTTTTCTCAGCCCCACAGAGGCTTTTCTCCACTGGTATTTTGCTCCAGCAATAAATAAATCTGCTGACGTGGGTGTTCTGCCCGTGTTTGCTTATTCTTGACCTTTGCCTCTGAGGGGCAGTTTCTGTCCTGGCCTTGTGGAACTGGGCTGGTTGTGCCCTGACAACTGGGTTTGATTTGGAGGCTGAAAATCTGGGCAGCTGATGTTGGGAGTAACGTAGGACGTGGGTTGAGGGTTTCAGGGTTAGTCATGGAGAAACCAAAACTCCTGGTGCTTCGTCATCTCAGCAGATTTTGTTCCAGTGCAAGCAAACAGAATGAAAATATCTTTTCCTCCTCTTTCTTTGTTGTCTTTCTGGGATGAACCTGTTGCTGTGTGGCAGAGGAGCTCGTTTGGCTGTCAGGAGTGCAGTGGTTGTGACAGATCCCTGGGTTTTGGGCTGGCTCTGAGCTGTGTTTAGACTGCTGTGCTCTGCCCCAGGGTCAGAGCTGCCCTAAAATCACCTTGTGACCTCCCCAAGGCACTGATACAGCGTGGAAGGGAGCGTGGCAGGATGGCCTCCAGCAGCCTGGGCACCTCTGCCAGCTGCTGCTGCTTCCCAGTGCAGCCCAGTTCCTCGAGATACTGGGACTCCAGCAGAGTTAACTGGCCAAATGCTTCTGAGGATATTGCCCTTCAGTCTTCCAAGAGGTTTTCACACTAGATACTAATTCACTGCCTCAAACTGGTGCTTTCAGAGTGATTATCCTCACTTTAGGTAATGAAATGAAGATGAAGAGAGCCAAGTAGTGAATTTTTCGTGGCTGTGTGGAGAACTCAGTGATGTCTTCATGCTTCCAGCCTGGCTGCTTGTGCAGGAGCAGCCCTGCCCTTGGTGACAGAGGGTTTATTCCTGGGGCAGGAACAACAGAATTTGTCAGTCTGTGCACTGCATCCTGTCTACTTGCTTCTTTCCCAGGGGTGAGCAGAGCAGCCTGGTGGTTTTTAATCTTACCACAAAGAAGGGCTGTTTGTGGAGCAGCCAAACTTCATCCTGGTACCAAGGGGTGTCTATAAGATCTGCATTTAAGGTGTGAATTGTGGCAGCCTGTGCAGGACAGCACAGGAGGTGATGGGCTTTGAATGGCAAGTCCAGTCCTTTGTGCAGAGCACAGGGATTTATTTGGTATTAAACATCTCTGGATTCAACTTCACAAAACTTCCTCACTTCCTATTTCCTCTGCTTCAAACCCCAGCAGCTCCCAACAGCAGCTGGAGCACTGACATCCCTCTGGGGCCCTCTCAAAAGTGCCACTTTTCCCCAGCTGAGAAGTTTATGTGAGGATCCCACGTGAAATCTCCAGTGGCACATCACGTACCTCCACCAAACCCTACTTAAGATGAAACTATTTTTGCTTCTTGCAAAGACTTCTGTCCACGTGGCATTTTCCAAGGGGAGGAAGAAGGTCTGTGCTGTGAAATCACAAGATCTGGATTCTGTTTCTCATTTCTACACTTATTTTTTTAAGTGTTGTGGGATCACTTCATTGGTCCATGATCCAGTTTACCAAAACTATTTCTTTTTATTTTTCACCTAGGACTTTGAATTACTTTTGTCTCCTATAAATACCTTCCAGTGTTTAACGTGCTGTTCTGCCAGATCTTAAATACATTGTGTTTTCTCTTTATTTCAGACTAAGATTCAGATATGTCCTTCATATTTAATTGGATATACAGTGGTTTCAGTAGCGTGTTACAGTTTTTAGGTAAGTTTTTCTTGTTTGGGGTTTTTCTTTCCTGCTGTTCTTCTATAAAATGTCTGTTTGCCTCCCTTATCTTCACAGGTAGCCGCTGGGTAAATAATAATATTTGGGTTAGTGTATATCCACTAACATTCAAACAAAAGTTTGGCTTGCATATACTGAGTATTTCCAGACTCTGCTCTGCACTCAAGCTGTCATTAATCCTTTAACCTCTTTGACAGAGTTACATTTTCTTTCATTTACATATCAGGTTTGATTTTTCTGATCATACTGGTGGAATTCAGCAGAGTTTTGTGGAGTTTCTCCTGATTTTTCTCTGCTGTAAAGAACTGAACTTGGTTATTTTAGTTATTTCTCAGCATAACCCTTGAGAATCCAAACAGGAGAGGCCTTCTACAAAAAAAATCAGTGCTGGGTGTTGAAGCCCTTGCTTGTGTTCAGCAGTGCATTATTCTGTGACTGGTGGCACAATTCACAGTTTCAGAGGATCTTACTGAAGTGGGCAAAAAGCATTGGAGGTGAAGGAATCCTGGCAAGGTGCCACCTGCCTTTTATCAGTTGAAAGTTGAAACTCTTTTTGCTGAATGTTAGACCCTTGGCCTACTATTGAAATATTAGCCAGTGAAATTTTAACTAAGTTGACTAATCTGTCTTATCTCCTCTTCCTTAGCTGAGGAGGGATTACTGCACCCTCAGCTGCTTTCCCATTCTTGTGTATGCAAAGTTTAACTCCAGTAGATACTGGAGCTTGGAGTGGGAAGGAGAATTACTTTCCATGTGCCCCTCATACTCCAGAAGAAACACTTTCTTTATTCCCATTTATATTTATGGTTGAAGAAGAGTGATTTGGGAGACCTTGCAGTTCCCTGTGCTCTCCTGCCAGCAGGTTGACAAGATCCCTTTATGAAGCACATCTCAGCACACACACACTTTTAGAATGCATGAAGAGTCTTTATAGATATGGGGCCATTCTCTGGTCTTGGTGTAGCTAGTAGCTGAAGTATTCCTGCTTGTTCATGGGCACCTGGGAAGCATAAAATGTTTCAGAGACAGCAGCAGCACCTGATCTGGAAGCAAAGGCTCCTGGATGTCTAGGCTGAGAGTGGCAAAAATGTTATTTACTATGATTTAGTAGAATTCTGTAAGGTAAGTGTGAACTGCAGTTTCCTTTGGGACATAAACTGGCATATGAGAATGTTGCCCACTCCTTTCTCTGTAAATATCAATACTTTTTCCTCCACTATAGCTTAACAGTTCACCTCTGTTTGGGCCTGTGAGAAGCTGAGTTTGGAAAGGAGGAGTTGTTCTGTTTGAAATAACTGTGAAGCACACTACAGTACCTGGAGGAATAAGGCTCATTAATGAAATCAGCCTAGGAATAGGAAAGAATATTCATTCCCCTGAGTTACAAAACGTGTCCTGGTGGAATGTGGTCCCAGAGATAAGCTTAAAGGCAGAGGGAAGGGTGAGCAAACAGCAGGGGTGTAAAGGTCAGCCAGGCAGAGGCACGTACACCCCTGGAATGCTGCAGCATCTCTGGGGCTCTGCCACCCTCACAGCAAAAAAGTTTTTCTTCCTGTTCAGATGGAACCTCCTGGGTTCCAGTTTGTGCCCATTGCCCCTTGTCCTGTTGCTGGGCACCACTGACAAGAGTCTGGCCCCAGCCTCTTGCCCTCCACCTTTTAGCTGATGATCAACATTGATCAGATCCCCTTTCAGTCAATAACACTAGGACATGATACAGTGAAAGATCCTGGTGTTGCCAAAACCTCCCACACTGTAGTATTTAGCTGTATTTTTACAATTCTTTCTGCAGAGAAGAGAGAATTCTGGTGGGAACACAGCTCAGTTTGGCTGTTTAAGAAATGTACATTAGGTATATGCTGAAATTATGTTCCCCCTGCTCTGCTGGAGGTGTTCTGCAGCACCTAGTGTCCAGCCACAAGGCTCTGAAGAGGGAAAAGGGAAGATTTTTCTGCTTAAAAAAGGCAAAGTTAAGAGTCTCTTTATTCAGTACAGAATGTGGTGTTTTAAAGTGTCTTTTTAAAATGTTTTCCTTTGAGTGTCGATCAGTTTGAAGCAGTGAAAAATAAACCTGGCATAGGATGCAGTGCTGGCAAGCTGTAAGAGAATTGCCCTTTGATAATCTCAGACTCAAGAAAATATGATGTTCAGGATTTAAATGTCCTTCTCTCCTTCACAGCAACTGCTGCCTGTACTGGGGTTACAAGCAGAGTGGGGGAAGGAGAAAAAAAGCATTTTAAGATGACAGTCAGTGAAAATAAAAGTTCTTCTCTCTGTTCTGAAGTATTACCACGTGGCAGCAAGTGAGTGAGAATTGCCCTGACCATGCTGTTCAGGATGTATCTGCACAGTAGAGCTGGGGGTGGGAGTGAAGCTACTTTTTGTCAAAATAATACATGAGCCAACATAGAAGAATTCAGACACACTAATCACAACTACTGACACTGAAACCAGTTTCTCTGTAATATACTGCTTGAGGTCTGAACTTTCTTTTTGCCTTGAGCAAGTTCTTCTGTCATAATTGGAGGCAGGAACAAAACCTCTGTTCAGGTTCAGGGGGGTCTGTGTCTTAGAGCCCACTCTAAGTGCTGTGCCCACACCCCCTCCACTGCCTGTGAGCAGAGCTGCCTTTTTACTGGGGCAGAGGAAGCTACACTGGCAAAATTCAGTCCTGTTCTGCTGCAGTTTTTCTAAGGTAACAAAGAGTTTTACACAAGTGACACGTTTACACCAGTTGTGTGACTTTCCCCCTCCTGCTCAGCATCCCATGAGCTGCCTGTGGGACACATGAGCAAGCAGGAGAAGATGGATAAAGGGCACTGATAAAAGTGCCTGCTGGAGCCTGGCTGGTCTGTATTTTGTACCATGACTGTAACCCTTTGTTCCTGGGAGCAAAATCATCCTCTGCAGTGCTAGAAATGACCTCTCACCAGTTTAACTGATTACTCACCAGTTCTTGCTTTCTTCTAGGGCTGTACAAGAAATCAGGCAAGCTAGTGTTCCTTGGACTGGACAATGCTGGAAAAACTACACTGCTGCACATGCTCAAAGATGACAGACTGGGACAACACGTCCCCACGTTACACCCCAGTAAGTGAATGTTGCTGGTTCCATAGCTAGGAAGTGTGTGAAGTGTTGCAGGAAAGCAGGATCTGATTCTACATCACAAAACCAGCAGTAATTGGAGAGAAATGAAGGGATTTCTGAGGTTGCCATCTGCAGATAGATGAAATAAGTTAAGAGTTTAATTTAATATTAATAGTTAAGAGTTGAGTAACAAGCAGAAGGATGGACCTGAGAACCTGGAGTACAGAAGCTGTGGGAAACTGGGGTTTGTGGTGTTCTGGAGCAGCTTCTCTGTGTAGCTGGGAAATTAGCATTTATGTGCACTGCTTTGATTCTCTTGGCTCTGAGGTTGCTGTGTCATTGTTATCCTGGTAGCCTCACAGGAGAAAAAGTTCAGCACGGGTTAAAAATGGGGATGGGGGAAGTCCAGTAAGGTGAGAAATGGGGAAAGGGTGTGAAAAGGACAAACCTTGAACAGGATTGTACATGAAATGCCATCTTTGTGGCAAGCCAGCTGTCAGAGACAGCTGTTGTTTGTGTAAGGATAAATAATGCACAAATATTCTCTGCTGTTTCAGCATTGTAGATATTTCACATGAGTTTTAGTGGTTAATATCTTGTCATCAGAACAATCATGGTGTTGATTTTGAGAGAAAATGCATGGCTCTGATTTGCTTCTTGAAAAACAAAGTACTGAAAAGAACTCAGAAAGTAAAATCTACATGCTGGAAGGTTAGACTGTTCAGTGCACTGCCTCATCCTCACAGAGAACATAATTCTGTGTTTCTCTAGCTTCAGAAGAGCTGACAATTGCTGGCATGACTTTCACTACCTTTGATCTGGGTGGCCATGCTCAAGGTGAGAGACTACATCGACTCACTTCCCTCCACTGCATTGAGTCTGAGGTGTCTACAGTTTGTCATGGACCAGAAGGATGCTGCAGGGGTTGACTTCCCATCCTTCCTTTGACTGCATCAAAAGCTTTCACTGCTCTTTTGTCCTTCTCCACCACCTCTCACGAATCCTAAATAAAATTTGGCAGGAGCTGCAGCAGAGCAGAAACTCTTGACTGATATCTGTATTTTACAGAGGATTCTGTTCTTTGAATCCCATAGATTGACCTTTAAGCTTGAAACTTACCTTTGTGGACATAATTCTTGGGGAAACATAAAAGGTTTCAGTCCCTCACTGTGCATGTGGGGTGGAGTGGTGGTAACAGTACAGGGAATGATACTTTTGCTCTGTTATTTCAAGTAAAACATGACATTGCATCCCAAAGACTTCAAAAAAAAAAACCCTCTTGCTTCTTAATCACTGATGTGCATCACTCTGAGTTTTGGGATAATTTCCTTTTGTTTTGAATTCACATCTTCCCTGCAGCTCGCAGAGTGTGGAAGAACTATCTGCCTGCAATCAATGGCATTGTGTTCTTGGTGGACTGTGCAGATCATGAGAGGCTGCTTGAATCAAAAGAAGAACTTGATGTAAGTTGAAATAGTTTCCTCAATGTTTTAACTTCAACTTCTAAGAACTAAGCTCAAATTCCCAGTATCCAACAGAGCTCTGCTGCCACCTGGACATGAGAAGCAGTTTGACCTTGTAAATATTAAATTAATCTCTCCTCCTTTCTCCTTTCCTTTGTAGTCACTAATGACAGATGAAACTATTGCTAATGTGCCTATCCTAATTCTTGGTAACAAGATTGACAGACCTGAAGCAATCAGTGAAGAGAGGTTACGAGAGACTTTTGGGCTGTATGGCCAGACAACAGGAAAGGTAAAGCTCCTTTGCTTTGCTTTTTCATTCTTTCAGGTGACTTTTCTAATTTAAAGTGCAGACTTAGTGTAATCTGTTACTTAGCATTTACCTAAAGCTTGGAAATATTACACCTCTGTAGAGGTCTGAATTTGTAGGGAA